CTTGACGTTACGTCGACGCCAAAGGAATCTCTTTCTGGATCGTGTTACGTCACTGTCTAGGTGTCTGGGTATCGTATGTTCACAGGACGCATCCCTTGGTTATAGAGGGGAGCAGCTACCTCTGAAATACACAGACCACCCCATCATCCTCCATAACGTACTAACGCGTGTCGTAGACCAATGGCATATTTGATTTCTAGATAGTTACACGATACACTCGATAACAGGGCTGATTTTTATTTTGACTTCTATCAAAAAACCTACCCTTATACGATAATTGAAGTACTTACTTACGAAGGTAACTGTACGAAAGTTGTCATACAGTTAGCAAAGCGTTCGGTCGTTTGGTCCAATTAAGTTGCCGGGGTAACATCCAGTAATGGGATTGCCCTGAAGTTTGCAACGCAGTGGCTACAGTAAATATGTCTAGCTCCATGGAGAACTTACCTACTGACTCTACCCTATCATTCATATGCCGATCGTGCGCAGTCGGTAGTGTCAGTATGTGGTAAGTACCCAGAAGGAATGTAATTTTACTTGAGAATTCGAATCTCTCTAGCAGCGCTTCAGATACGCGCGTTAACGAAACTTTGGCGTTCTATTTGTGACGTCTCCTTGCTCTCTAAACAATATCCGCCATCCGGAATTTCCAGCAGCCAGACAGAACAGTTTGCCTAATTGGCAGACTCGACGCTTCCTCGTTTTACACTTGAAATCTCACGTCACGTCTTTCGTTTCTTCCTATATGGACCTTCGTACTGAAAATTATCATTCTGTAAGAATGAGATTTTATTTCGATATCAGGCAAAGTTTTTCATATAGCCCAAAAAATAAAGGAGTCGAAGCAGCTGCTGCAGGACTCAAAACTAATATCGGAACGCGTCAAATTAATGGGAACTCGTGGGGGGGGAGCAATTTATCGCGAGTACCGACAGCAAACAGAAAACAATGAGAAAAGCAGGGTGTAGCAATATAAACAAGGGGTTCCGAGGGCAACAACCCCGTAACAAGTTTATTAAATGTTATATCCGCGAAAAAGGAGCTGTCGGGGTTTGCGCTATTTGAAATAAAAGAACGACAGGTTTCTTTGAGTGGATAAGCGATGGGCGAATTCAAGGCAAAGTCAAGTTTCTAGGAGAACTGCAAGAGACGCGGTGTCTTCTGGGAAGCAGGGAAACTAGTTTCGCTAATATAGAAAAATTGCTATGAGCGTCTTTGACGGCGGCCAATATAGTCACGACGTCCTGCGTCGCTTCCGTTTCAAAATCTGAAATAGCTATACGTGCCGAAGAGTGCAACGTATCTGCAGAGGCACGCGTTATCTACTGTACCGACTGGGAATCATATTTAGGGATTTAATTTCCAAAATCCTTCGCATCTCTTTGAAGAAAACCCCATCACTTACATTTCATTATGGCGACGGAGTCTCGATTGCCGAAGATTAAAAACTTTCTGGAAATATTGTAAAGTCCACTTATGTCAATGCAGAAATGCAGCCAAGAAAGTAGGTTGAGAGGGTGGAGATATCCAAAGAAATAGAAGTAATAATGATTATAGAAAATGTATATATGTACTTTATTCTTCTGATGTTACGTTATATTATATATTACGATCACCCGTTATATTACCATATAAAAGCATACCAGACGACTCGAGACCTTTTACTCGAAATCGCAAGAGTTTTAAATAGATCTTTTGATCTGTCGCATGAAATTCTAACACGTGGATCAATTGTTTGATTACAGTGATATTCAAATTCGATTTTACTGCGACCGTAGAATTTTGATTTGTCAAATTTTCAAGAGTCAGGATTCTCTTTTTTGCCATTCAGACGAAATCTCTAGGTGAGATTGAAGTTGCATGGTTACGCGAAATTAAAGCTCCAGCTGCTTTATGAAAGAGTCGGTAGGCCGTGAGGGTGCGAGGGAGAAGGGCTGCTAAGGGTTACACTGGTTAGACAATACGAGGATATGTTGAGACTCGGCACTCAGACTCTTGCCTGAGGCTTTTGCTAATAAACAATATAACTCTCACCTGTCTTTTGTATGCTTTTTGATGCTTCCTTCCATTTTTCATTCTTCCCCTTTTCTTTTCTTTCATTACCCCGTTTCATTCTACCCAACTGTGTTTTTTTTGCTACTTTGAAGATTCAAGGGAAACCTTAGCGAACCACGAGGCTCCTTGAATCGGAAAGAAACGTGAATAGAATTTTTTTTTTATAAATAATTCTTCACCAAGTTTTTCCCGTGAACGAATCGCAGTTCCCGGTCGATCGACGCGTGTAAAATTAGTACACGTCTTTAGGTGAGGTAAAATAAGGTAGTTATTTTGGGTTTCCTAAGTTTCTTTAACAGGAACCTCGAGGTTGTGTGTGGTTTGTTCTGGAGAAATATTTGTCGGTTCCTGATTAGCTATTTTCCCTCGCGTCCAGGTCCTGGCAGGCTGATATATCATCCCTCGCGTCCAGGACGTTTGTTCTTTGCAAATAGCACACCCCTTGGATAAACTATATCTATCCACATGTTTTTCTATCTATGCTCTCCCTTCCTTACTCACTTGTTAATTTACCTTCTGCTGCTCTACACTCAAATACTCCAGTTGATATTTCTGCCTGCCCAATCTGACCGGAAATTAATGGATAGACCTTCTCAATACAATTTCCTATGTAAGGTAAACGCGTCAGGGTTACGCTTTTTCATAATATCAGATCACGGAATTTTAGTAATAAAAATCTCAAAGGATCAAAGGTTGGCACAATATTTCATGAAAGTCTGCCCTTTTTTTTTCGCGAGTCAAATATTACGTGGAAACGAGATTTCGAGTACCTTTCCACGGTAGAAATTTGTCAACGGCGTCATTCGTTCCTGGGACAAAAGAAATATTCCAACTTTCTCTGAGAGTGTGTCTTGTCTCTGGTGAAAACAAGAAACGAATCTAACACAACGAGATCAAAAGCAGAGCAGAGATCTGCAGCAAATACGTATAGTCTTTTCCCATTTTTATTTTCCGTCACCTTAATAGAATCGCGAAAAAGAATATCCTTTCGATTCCATCCATTTTCGTCGTTCGTCATTCGAAAAGATTTCCACCACACATATTTGTTCGAGCGAAATTTCACAAGGAAATTGCAAGAAATTAAATTTTTTCCGAAAGTAAATTCCTTTCGAAAGAACATGAGGGATGGCAACTCGTGAACGACTCGACGAGGTTATTTATCATCGCATCGAATGACGGTGACTCATTGTATCAGTCGGCATCAAAGAGAACGTACAAAAGATCCTTGAGAAAAGGAGAATAATTACCAAGATTTGCCCCAATATCAGCATCATCAATTTTACCCTCGGAACAAGAAAAAAAAGGGGGCATCGCAAAATCGCAAAATCGACTCCTCCTACGTAAAGGCCTGACTGAACAAAAGAGGGCTGTCCAAAAGCTTGCGATAATTCCGTCTATATATACTCCCGCTGCTCTCCTTACGGTTTCGCATTGAATTCTTTTGGAAAAAAAATCCCTAGCATTGACTGCTATTAATACATCCAGTCAAATGTCGAGTACACACCGAGTGTCCCACGTGCACGTATCGCGACCCTCGCGCCATATTCAACAGGCACTCCAATTAACCCTGTTTTCAATTAATATTTTCGCGCCCGCCTCGCACCCTGGAGAAGTTCCAAGTGCGATGACAGACGAATTCCGTGGACCCTTTTCGTCACTCATTGACGCGGTCACGCCACCTCTTAGGAATCGGGCTATTAAAAAAGGCGCCCTAAATCAACAGAGCTTTCCCTCGAAACTCCCTCGAGGGTTTTACAACAGTCTTACCGGAGTGGCCTGGCCACGATTGTTGTGCGCAGCAGTTCCATGAGTCAGGTGGAATTAGTATCTACAGGGTGTACGAGAATTATAGGAATATAGAATATACGAAGTAACTTCGTATCGTCAGCATCCCCTGAACGTCAGGCTACAACAAAAGTTACACTCGAAGAACAATTTTTTGTCCTCCGCAAAGTCCTGTTACACGAGACACATTCATGGGCAGGAATTTTCATACAAATCCGACTTTTACGGGTTATAAATCAGGAAGGTTTACGACTAGAGCGTTATAAAAGGCACGTGGCCATTATTCGAGTCTGACTCGTTTGTTTCATTCGCCTGAAACTTTTTTCACGTGCCTTCCTTTCGTTCGGTTTTTAGTAGTGCAATTTTTCTCGATCGGGATTCTCATACGATTTCGAAAATGGTTTCATTAGGGTGAAGGATGGGATGGCTGAGGTTTATCAAGACTATCTATAGATACCGATAAAACGTGGTATGCAGAGAAATATGGGTAGTGATTGGGTTTTGATCATAGGGGTGCAGATTACGTGGTTCAGGGTATTCAGGAGCTGGTTGGAGGATTTTTATAATCTGTGAAGGGACAAAGTAGGTGGCGACCGTAACGGGAAGCCAGAATGGCTGAATCGGGACTACTTCTGGCGCCATCTGTCTGCCATCTTACGAACTTTGCCGTGCTAAACATTCGTTCGATTTTATAGGCTGCGATATAGGATACTCCCTGTAGATATCTAGAACACTTCACAGCAATTTTATATAGAATTATGAATTTAATTTAATCAATTTCTACATCCTTCACCCGTGCTCCACTGATTAAACCCTTTTTTACTTGGTTGCCTGAATATTATTGTAAAATCCCATGATGGGTTAATCGGCGATTTATCTAGCGCACAAAACATTTGAAAACGAGGAAAAATTATCGACCTATCAATATTAACGAGTGGTGAGCCGCGATAGCCCGATTCGCTGACGTACCCAGTTAAACCCAACATTAAAAGCGCTTTCATCGATCGGTAATCGATTAATGAAAATGCACTCCGAATACCTCGATTTATTTCCCTAACAATTATCACGTACAACAAATACGACAATTTAAGTTCGCATTATGTGTTTTAATTTTAAAGCGTTTCATGTATACCCTTTGAATTTTTTATTGTCTGTTTCAGAATCCGAGTTTGATCTACTGAATGCTGCTGGTTATCCGGAAAATGACAAATACCAATATATGGACGATGGTTTGGATGGTTTCCCGGCGTTTGTTTTTCGGCCTGGCTCCGACGTCAAACAGCCGTACAGACTGTACTTGCCTGAAAAATTGCCAGCGGAATTTACCCTCGTTGCAACTTTCAAATCCATGTCCTCCAGTAGCAGCTACCTCTTTGCGGTTCTTAACCCTTTCGAGACGGTCGTCCAGCTTGGGATAAGATTGTCGGTGAGTGAAAATTGATGAATTTTAGCTGCAATTTTTTTGAGATATTTAAAAATTCGATACGGTAATCAAATCATCGTATGTCCATTTTATGTCTCAGGAGGGACCAGGACAAAATCAAAATATTTCTCTGGTGTACACAAACTCGGACGAACACACGCATTCCGAGGAAATAGCGAAATTCACGGTGCCGCCACTGACGAAGCGGTGGTCCAAGATTGTCTTCAAAGTCTCGACTACGGACGTCACTCTTTATTTAAATTGTCACGAAATGTCTCGGCAGCGGATCACCAGGATCCCACAGGAATTGGTTTTCGACACTGCGAGCACCCTTTACATCGCTCAAGCTGGACCGAATATTCAGGGGAAGTACGACGTGAGTAGATTACTATAGAAATTTGATTACTAGGATATTCCAGTGGATTCACTCATCTGTGGATTATCCGTGGGAAAATCACTGGACCGTACCGCACAGTACTACATCACTGGTCGACAAATAAAGTCGATCAGTCGATATTTTACCAAAAAAAAAATGTATTAATTTTATAAAACGAGTCTCGCAGATTTCACTCCTAATATTTAAGGTATTTAAAAGGTTATACAAATTTCACCATGACAATTTTTTTTGGAGATTTTTCAAAATCTTTCGAAGCTATTGAAAATAAATTTGGCAATGTAAAATAAGCATCCCAATCCCTTGAACCAATTGTGGGCTTTTGAACTTAAGAGAGAAGGGGAAGCAAAATTAAAAATTTCTTGGCGCCCCTTGTCATATTTTTATTTACTTCCACGAGCATCTACAACCTAAGTCCCATTTACGAATCTTTGTGCTAAATTGAGCTTCGAATTCAAGCTTTAAGCGTAAATCGAGGGTGATTCTCTTTTCAAAGCTTGAAGAAGAAGAGAGGCGATGAAAGCAAAGCAGGAAGGGAAGAAGGCAGATTGGTTTGCTAAGAATATACATACAAAGGGATTCGAAGGGTGAGAAGTACAAGCAACTTGAAGTCGGTAATGTCGTTCCTATCAGGCCTTATCGTCTCCTTACTTTGCCCTCAACTTTCATCTCCATCTCCATTCCCAGAATCCCCTTACACTTACTTGACTTTTGATGTCTTCGGGATAACAGCAGCCTGGAAAAGTTTTACTTCTGGCTGCCCGTTTCTCGGCCCCCGGCTATTCCGGATGCTGCTGGACCAGTCTCAACGGCCGCCCGATGCGCCGTCTCGTAGGACTAATTTCTATAAAATGCTCAGACTTCAAATTACCTGCCTGCTGTTTTTCCCTTTACTTCGAGTCTTCGTCTTCCTCCTTTGCCGGTTGGTTCGACTTTAATTCTGCTCCAGATACCTTTGGATCACTTAAATAATGTAAATCGCTATAACTATAGCTCGAGTCATCGACAGGCGGGAAATATCGAATTATTAATGCATCAGGGATGTAAAAGGATTACGAAATTATTGATTTTTTTCTTCGAGCCTTGCTTCTTCTTTATGGCTGCACTACGTGATCTGGATATTTCGCGAAATCGCCTGTGCTTTTCGGAGAGACAGGCGTTGATGGCGAATCGAACGAGAATCGAATTTCAAGATCTTGGAAGACAAGAAACGGCACCTTTGGGAATAGCCTGCTTTAGTTCTCGACTTTCCTCAAATTTCTTCGTTTCCGTTTCACAAGGTACCTCCGCGTATATAACAGCACACAACGTATAATTTTAAGGCTGACAGAATTTCCGGCTTGTTAAGCAAGAGACTCGTCCAACGATACTTGGAAAGCTCCGAGAAGTACGCACCGAAGGAGGACCCCATAGATTCCATTGTAAAAAAAAAAAAAGAAAACAGTACAGAGGCCTAAGAAAGGCGCAGGGGCTATCTCATTGTATAAAATTAGCCATTTCAGCTCTCTGTAGACGACTGCGAATTGGAGATGCTTGTTGTAATTTACCTAAAGTATTAAAACGTTCCTGTACCTGCGCGAAAGCACCATTTCCAAAAGGAGCGACGAATCTTGGAAATAGTTCTCATGGGATTTTCCAATTTTTCCTTTTCTCCAAGTATCACTTTTTTCTCTCAGTTTCTGGTTTTTCCGCACCGTCCGACAGACTGACTCTTTGACTTGACCCCTTGCCACCTGCTCCAGCCATTTACCCTTGCACTTCCTGAAGTGTAGGTTAAACTTTCGCGATGTCTCCGGGGAACGTTTAGGGGTTGTGCTTCCTTGTGGTAGTTCCCACTGTACCACAGGACTCCACACCGACCATACTAGAATCTAAAAATCTTATATAAACTCTTTTTCAGGCTACTCCCTTATTTTGGTATTTCGAGGGAGGCATTTGATTAATTCAGCCAAGTCGAATTATGCAAGAGGCGCATGAAATTTCTAGGGAGATTAGTCGGCGTCTCTTCTTCGTCCGAGAATAACTCGTTTAAATACTGATGGACGTGAATTATTTTCTTGATGTAAACTCGAGCCAATGCTGCCGCGTTATTCCAGTATCCCGGGCTACGACAACCGGACAGTAAATTGATTATTGATTCTGAATAAATTCCGTTGGACGTGTTTCTCGATTTTTCAAATTTATTCCCGCTATCAATATGCCTTGAGATTTAGTCAAGAAGATTCCCGCATCCGTGCATCCTTCTAATAAGATTTCAATTTTACCTCAGAGCTTTCGGGAAATATAGTCAATTTTGTTCCCGCTCGGCGAGATGTTAATACGATTACAAGTGATTACCAGCATCCACCTGGAATGAAATTAGCATAAACAAATTTTTGACAGAATCTCGTACAAGCCCGAGCGTACAATTATCGGATGGAATTATTTACCCTTAAAAAACAACGTAGACAATTACTCACAGGGAAAATGGAATAATTTATTAAACGACACACGCGTTCCCATTCGCGAACTTTATTTGAATCAATGTTAAATTATCTTTCTATCAACTATGTGCATTCATCTGGTTGCTCTAGTACGTTATAGCTCCACGTGTTTCCTTTCGTGCCCCCTTTTCCTTTTTACCCCTCGGTCGCAATATGTCGACCAGCACTCTTTTTTGCTTCATTGGATAATAAAGATTCGAACCATAACAGCACCCGCTATTAGAGTCCGAAGAAATTCCTGTCGAGTTTTCGCGTGAAAGGTATTTTTATAAAATTTTCAAATATTTTCAAATATTGGATCTGATACATTCTGTACGATTAGCTAACGTAATATCGGGACGCCGTAAATATTCCTAAGCAATTTAGCAGCCGTCCTGCGCATTCGTTATATAATAAATATCTTGTTGACCAACGCGACTTTATTTACCGGTAAACTGTAAATGCAGAAATTTAACTATTTTCCGGATTCCCGCCATTATTTGCGAGCAGAAAACTGCCGGAACTGCATCCAATAGGAAATAAATAGGATAGGGAAGGATTATCCTCGGGGGTGGTAGGGGGAACTGGGGAAGCGTCGCGACGCAGTCCGCCCTCTGCGTATTCACTCTGGCAAGAAGCTGCCGTGGAAAAGGATGGCAGATCCTCGAGAATTCCGGGCGGTTTAATTTCCCAAAAAGCTGGATTTTCCAGACTTAAGAAACTTTTCTCCTGTCTGTAGCTGACTCGATTTATCGTTCGGAATCCCACCCGATAGATAATAGACTATCGCGTAAGAATTCCGAGCACTCACTCCAAGTCAAGTGCAGTTCAATTCGCTCACTAATCAAAAGGTAATTCACTGATTTGGCACCTAATACATTTCTTAAAGTTTCCGGATATTCACCAGTTAATTAGCAATAAAAGAAAACTCAAGTTTCGCGTATCTCGTTGGTATCACGTAGAAAGAGGTTAAAGGCCCGAAGGGAGGACAATCGAATTTGCGGCGAATGGGGGGGAGGGGGGGGGTGGCGCGAAAGCCTGTTATCAGATGGTAGCTTATATAAATCCCCGCAATCAAAAGATGCCCATCTAAACAGTGGCAATCACCCGGGAAGGATAAATGCCAGGAGAAATGTCGTCCCCTTCATTTTTACGAATCCCAAATTCGAACGAAAGGATTAATTATCCTGGCAAAAATATTTTACCCAATTGCCAATAGTTAGTTATAAAAATTATTTTCTCGATCCAGCAGCAAATTCAAGAGAGTAAATTTGACTGATTGTGCGAATCATGCAGATCATGACGAGAACCCTTTGAGCTAATCAAAGCCTTAAGAAAATACAGCCCAAGAGCAGAAAGGGTTCAAAATGCTCCTTGCAAACGGAAATTGAAAAATTCTAAGCGTAATCGTTTCCGTCTTATCTCCGATCTCATCTCCGTGAAGATATGGCACTTCTCAAGTCTCCTGCATTCTATCCCGAGATACAAGATACATTCATCGGCAATCGAATTTCACTCCTGCGCGGATCCTATGTATTTGTACCCATGATCTTCAAAGATCAAATTACGACAATAGTTGACCCGTAGGAGTTGGAAATCCTGGATCTAGAATGATACGGGATAAGACACAAGGATTATGCCAAGAAGGAATCTAACAAAAAGCAGGACTGGAATTATACGGAATATCGTACCAGACTGTAGTTTGCCAAGCGATTAGATGGAGCCATGCGATTCCTTGGAAGAGGCCAAAAACTCTTAAGAGAATATTCCCATACAGCTACTGCTAGGAATTAAGAGAGAATGAGAGTGGGAGAGAGAGAGAGTGTGTGTATACGTGACGCAGAGAAAGAAGAAGGAAGATATTGGTAACAATCCATAGTTTCTGATTTGGTCCAAAGACCTTTACATATAGGAGAGCCATACCGATAGCGATGGGAATCTGCCAAAATTTATGGCGACTCCAACCAGGAGAAAAGATTCGCGAGAATTTGGCAGAGCAAGGAAAGTACGCGAAAGCCAATAGACATAAAGCAAAATGGAAAATACTATTTGGCACGAAGGTCCAAAGGAATTTATGTAAAATCTACCATATAGGAATACCTAGTAGATATAATAAAAGGTGAGGAGTCCCTAAGTAACTGAACCACTTTGATGTCTTTGATAAGGATACGTATTACCTATACGTACATGCATCCTATATACCAATTTAAATTTTTACCTCAATTCCAGTATCTCGTGCACTCGAGTTAAACTTAAACGTGTATACAGTACATACTTATCATTTGGAGTAGCATAAAGCATTACGCGATCCCGGCAGAACAAATTGGACTGCAGGCATCATTTCCATGGATACCATTATCTTTTATTGAGAATTCTACTGAATCGTTTAAAGAACACAACAGTACCAGAGATGGAATACAAAATTGTCCTGATATACATATTACGAATGATAAGGGAGAGAGAGAGAGAGAGAAAAAAAATTATCTACCCTATCTATACGCTTTAGAGCTGAATGTTATT